TGAAAGGTCTCTTCCAGCCAAAATGATTCCATGCAGTTAAAGAGCTGAGGGTAGCTATCACAAGTATCTACCCATGCCATGTCTCTTGCTGGGGGACAGAAGAGTTTATATTGGCACAGTCTGTCCCGTGGCTCACAGATATAGCAGAGGGATTGACAATTAAATGGTCCAAGATTTCCTTGTGTGGCAACCTGGGCACTGGCAGGCCAGCTACTGCTAAAGGAAATGTGGCTTCTGCCTCACCTGCCCATAAAGGCTCATGATTTTTTCACTGAGGTCAATCATTTGACATGTTTTATCCTGGCACTTCATTAAAGCAGAATGAAAATGCATGGCCACTTCTCGTCATTAGCAAACAGAGTAGATACTCAGAAATTACACTGAAGTGTGACCTGATACTAAATATATATATTCTGACCTGATACTAAATATATATTCCTGACACTCAAAATTTAGCATAATTCAATAGGCAAAATCTATTTCTCTCTCTGCAGATGCAGCACAGCCATGGTGAAAAGTTAACTTTTAGCTTCTCTCTAGACTGGGATGCACTTCCCAGAGCTGCTCTTTGAGCAAAGGTGGGCAACTGCAGCCAGCTGCATGGTATTTTATGGTTATTTAGTCTCAAAAGACCCTTTTCAGTCCCACCAACCAGGAAAAAGACTGATGAGGAGATATCCTTCATCACTGTACAATTAATTCCCCTGCTCAGAGTCCCTGAGTGCCATTCTTAAGTAGCTGAGAAGGACCCTGCTCTGTCAAACATGCAGGGGAATCTCATGTGAACTTCAACAGGAGTTTATGCTGTGCACCATCTCACAGGACCAGACCTGTGAAGTGAGATTTATTGCAATCTTTGACCCTCCACAGCATGTTGGTGAAAATGAAATGCCAATAATGCAATAAAAAATCCTATTGAATCTGCCTGTGATAATGTACATAATGATTATGCTGTATTAGATAGGCATCATTTCAGCTGCTGTTGCACTGAGAAGGCTTCCATTGATTTTTGGGGGTTAATGTAAAGAATGTGTCTTAAAAGGCTTTTAGTGACATGCCTGAACCTGTCCCATTCTCCACTTCAGCAACAACGGGGTCAATCTGAGCCTCAGTAGAGGGTGAGGCAAAAGTTTCAGTAGAAACCATCTGCCAGAAGACAGAAGTAAAGGGAACAATTAACAGTGACAGACTGAGCTCTCCAAGAAACCCTTTGAAGCTGCTCAGTTATTTTCAGCAGCTAAGAACAGTCTTGCTGAACCTTTCACTTGCACTTCCAGAGACTCACTGGGGATTTCACAAGATGTTGCTGTTGCTGCACCCAAGACCAACCCAACAGCCAGCTCCAGCCAATCTGGACATCCTGGGCCAGGTCTAAGCTGCTGCCCTTTCAAGATGGACTGATGATTACAGAGCTACCACAACATTCTGCTGGTTATAGGTAATCCAGATGTAGCTTAAAACTTCAAGAAAACTTTAAGCTGTAATTTGTATTAAAGAAGCAATTCCACTCTCTTCCCATGAGTGCTCATTCCCACCAGTGTTTCCACCTCCACTGTGTCAGCACTTGGACCCTAGTGCTGGCAGAAGGAAGGAGGGAAGAGCTGGGTAGGGGTCCAGTTTTGGTTAGGTGAGATGAACCTTACTCTGTTTGCACACTTCCTGAGAGAATGAAATGCTTTCCAGGCTGTTATGGTGTATATTAGACAAGATGTAAAAGGACAAAGCATCTTCCCATTTGTATGCCTGAATAATCACAGAATCATTAAGGTTGGAAAAGACCTCTAAGATCAAGTCCAGCCATCAACCTGAGTCTTATAACCCTAAACAAACAAATGGCAGATGAGAGCCCAGTCAACTGATGCCTGGTTTTAATAACTGTGGAGGGAGTTCCCAAAGACTGGAAAAGTGTTAAGGTTTTAACATTAGTCAAAAAGTTCTGGGTGTGCTTCTACATAAGCATATCCCAATTAACTGGATATAATTTTCAAAATAAAATGCAATGGCTTTTCACATCCTGCTAAAAGACAGGATTTCACTATGACTGCTCACCATGATTCTACAGAGAAACAGGTGAGACAACCAACTGTTCACTCTCTGATGAAAAAATGCTGATTTCTTGAACACAATTTTGACTCTGTGCCACTCAAGATATGGTTATCATTACATATTGTCTGTCAAACATCAAAGAGATGAAGAGGTGGTTGGCAGGTCACAAAACCCACTAGTCATTCCCAAATACCCACGGTGTAGGAGCTTGTACTGGTGTTCACAGGGATTAACACTAGGACAAAAACTATCCATTGTCTTCAACTATCTGGAAGCAAATATGAGATGATGATGATATCTGATATGCAAATGATCTCTGGAAACATTTGTGATGTGCTAAATAACAAGGAAAGAAAAAACTTGTTTGCTGTGAAATATTTGGGTTTGTATTGTCAAGTACTGCTGCTGCTCCTTCACTAGAAGAAGGTGATGAAAGGGCACAGCCCAGGCCAGTATGAGGCTGAGGAGAAGAAGGGATTTAGAGACCCTGACACACTGCTCTAAGTACAGCCTTACTATTAAGGAGGGTTTATCTATTGCATTTGTTCAGCTCCTGAGATCAAGCTTTTAAGTGAAGGATGCTCAGAAGCAAAGCTCTTTAGAAGATACTCACCTTGGGGGAAATTACTTACTGATCATGAACCTGACACATTTTCTAAATTATTTTAAAATACCTCCTGCTAATATTGCTTTTAACTATTTTGACAACTTCTGAGGCACACAGCACTGCAAACTTCAAGCCATTCTTCACACCAAGAATTTATGGATCTAGAGAGAATTAATTTACTGGAAATTACATCTACAGCACTATAAAGACTTTGCCCTTAGCAAAGCAGGGTGGAAAAGTTGGCAGCCAGTTAGCTATCATTTCTCCCAAGGAAGGATGTTTCAGAAGTGATATAGAAGCAGTCTGTGAACTGTCTGTGAGGACTCTTCAGTGAAATATGGATTTTCAAAAGTCACTAATGCTCTATTGCTTAATTCTGCTGAAAATTTCCGGTTTAAGGTGAAGGAGAATCTCCCAGCTGGTAAATTAACAGCAAATCATTAGTAATGAAAAATTTTAGTTATCCTTCCCTAGTAACTAGTGATACCTGCCCACTTATCAGGGTAGTATGTCTTCTCAGTGCCAACTAACTCAAACCTCAGTACAAGGAAGGAAGGGACCTCTGGAGATCATTTCATCCAACCCTCCTGCTCCAGCAGGTCACCCACAGGACAGTGCCCAGGATGGTGTCCAGGAGGGTTTGGAATCTGTCCAAAGAAGGAGACTCCACAACCTCTCTAGGCAGCCTGTTACAGCACTTCATCACCCTCCCAGGAATGAATTTTTTCCTCACGTTCAGATGAAACCTCCTGAGTTCCTTGTTGAACTTCATGAGGTTCCCCTCTGCCCAGTCCCCCAGCCTGTCCTGGTCTGGCTGCATGGCAGCACAGCTCTGGTGTGTCAGCCACTCCTCCCAGCTTGGTATCAGCAGCAAATACACCTAATCCCAGCTGGAATAAGCCCCTCTGCTTTTTTTTTTGAGCACTTGCCCTGTGGAAAAGAAGTCAGGGGCTGTACCTGAGGGTGTGTTGTAAGTAAAGAAGATCCTGAAACATAGGAAACCTTTTCATAGTGTGACTGGATAATCCAATTGGAACTCCCAAGAGCGTAGCCCGAGCTGAGGGGGGTCACCTGCACAGCACCAAACAGCTCCTGAAACACACAGCAAGAGACATTAACTTCAGTGAGCCCCTGAAAGAAGTCAGAACAGGTCATTTTATCACCAGTTACATCAATTTTAAAAGTAGTTCTGCTATTCAAAGACTTTATGAAGCTATTTTCTCAAACTTTGTCTGCTGGTTTTACTTACCCATGTCTAACAGGACACATGCTCTGAGAAAAGCTTTCCCTGAGGTAGGGCCTTCATAAAGTCTCTCTTTCATGTGAATTCTGTGGCACAGAACTGAGTTCACTCTAAACCATAATCCAAATGGAGGAATCAGGCAGAGTCTTGATTCTCTGCCTGCCTTTATTGTATTGCAGAGGTTTGTAGGAGCTTTATGTCTTTGAAGACTCTATACTCTCTTAGTTAATTGTATTGGTATTGGCCAGGAGGCAGGAAGGGAGGACAAGTAGTTCTGAGATGATACAAAACTCCACTTGGGTTACGTGTTTTGCCCCGTGCCAAGGACAATGAGCTGAACTTGCCTCAAACTCTTAGACAAGTGCAGGCTCTGTGGTGGAGATATGAAAGGAGTTGGTGGCCCCAGCAGAGGCAGGGCTGACTAACCTCACTCCCCTGACTCCAACAGAGCATGAGCACGGATCAGGTCAAACACCAGTCAGACACTTTACAGCAGTACCTGCTCAGAATGACCACCCAAGAGCCCATGAAACGCCCCTCACCTCATTTTGAGAAGCTTCTCAAGTCTATGAGAAGCCTGTGCAACTTAATTCAGCAACTCAGACACTGCCCCAGGTTTTACAAACCTCTGTAAAAACTCCAGACATGAGAGAATCCACCCACCACCTATGGGCCAGGACCTCAACTCCAGACAACACAGAAACCTCTTCTTTTCTCTCAACTTTCTCTTATCTTTCTTTCCTCTTCTGTTTTATTTTCTAACTATCTTCTAGTCATCTTTTTATTAAGATTAAGTAGTGTCACATTTTTAGCCTTAGATTGCAAGTAGGGAAATGAGTGTTCGACCACGTGCCTCTACCCACAATATTTACTGATTGTCATTAGGAAGAGCTAATAAAATGTTTTGTATTATTCTCTGAGTCACTGTCACCACCTCTGTGGCCCTGCTGTGCAGGGACAGCCCTTTTCCAGGGGATTATAAAGATCCACTTCCCTTGTCACCCACCGAGTGGGGTGAGACACTCTGGAAAACATAAACTTCAAATTCACTCACTTTCTCATTTTATTTCTTTTTAAATGCTATCTACTGGTGACTTGGAAACAATGCCCTGCAAATTCAATTCAGATTTCACAGCCTGACAGTTGTCTCCTTTCCAGGTGTCATGAGAAAGTGTATTGCTTTATCTGTACACAGTAATGTGTTCTACTTGTTTCAAGAAAGGAAAATAAGCCTCTGTGTATGCCTCACTAATGTGATCTGCTTTCTGGTTACTGAATAATAGAACAAGCATCTGATTCATGCAATACTAATGATTTTTCTAGTATCTCAATACATATTTGGATGCCTTGCAACACCAGGCAGGGTCTCCATCCCTCCAAATGCATAAACCAAAGCTCTAATTCTGCTGATACACAGACAGGTAAACTGGACAACAAATTAGTCTTGATGCTGTCACCCACTTTTGGGTTAACAGGCTACTTAGAGTGTGATTATTTTAAAAGTTAGCTTAGAAAAGAGAAAAAACCCATCTCTTTTCCTCCTAACTATAAAAGAATGATTGGCTCAGATGCACAGATCTAAAATTAGGCGAGATGCATCCACATTGTGAAGACAGTTGTAAAGAAACTGTTGTAAAAAAATCCATGGATACTGAGGAGTCCAAAGCTGCAGCTCTTACTTCTGTCAGCAGCCATGTCAGTGGTGGTTCAGGGTCATTTTAATCCAGCTGTAATGCAGCACCACCCAAATCTGAATCCACCAAGTTTAGCACACAGCAGCCCTGGTTACTGTTTCAAATTGCCTTACACATAAACAGCAGTCTCCAAACTTTTGTGGCCCACTGTGTAAGAAAAGGGAGCAGATGAAAAGTTTGAGCACGTTTTACTCAAATTCAATTCTCTTTTCTATTTCTTATGACCCTGGGCAACAAGTCTCATGACTTGCTGCCTAGAGCACAAGTCTTGTGAGGAGCAGCTGAGGGAACTGGTGTTGTTGAGTCTACAGAAAAGGAGGCTCAGGGGGAAACCTTCTGGCTTTTGACAGCTACCTGAAAGGAGGCTGTGGAGAGATGGGGCTTGTTCTCCTCTCCCAAGGAACAAGGGTCAGGACAAGAGGAAAGGGCCTCAAGTTGCCCCAGGGGAGGTTGAGGTTGGCCCTGAGGAACAATTTCTTCCCTTTAAGGCCTGTCCAGTGCGGTGCCAGGCTGCCCAGGGCAGTGGTGGAGTCCCCCCCCCTGGAGGGGTTTCCAAGCCGTGGAGATGTGGGGTGAGGGACACGGGGCAGTGGGGACCTGGCAGAGCTGGGGGATGGTTGGACTCCAGGATCTGAAAGTTCTCTTCCAACCAAAACGATCCTATGACTCTATATCAATAGTGGCCATCATGGGCCACGTGCTGCCCAGAAGCCATAAGGGAACAGAGGACCTGCAGGCTGAACTCATGCTTCAGTTGATTCTAGAAACTACACTGGATTATAGTCAGCAGCATGACAGACAACAAACGTTAGCTGGGAACCCTGGGAAAGGAGTTGCTGAAGTTGAGGTCGAACCATTAGGTTTTGTTTACAACCCCTCTTTGCAGTATAAAAGAAAGTGGAGGCTAAAGCACTCACAAGATTCCCAGAAGTGAGAGATGGTAGCTCAGAAGGGGATGTGGCTCACAGAGAGGATACATTCACCTCATACATCCTCCCAGCTCTCAGCGGGCCAGCTTTCAACTCCAAATTTGAAGGTGTGCCGCCTTAAAATTGGGCTCCCTGAGGAGGAGGAGAAACAAATGGATCCTCCCTGACCTCACCAAACAGGAACCCTTCCTGGGAGGCAGGCTGAGGGACATTCACTATGAGCCTGTCTTGCTTTCTTAGGCTAGAGTAATTAGATCTTGCATGAAGTGGGAAAATGGAAAAGGGCATTTTCAGAGAAAAGGTGGAAAATGACAAGTTGTTATTGTTGGCCTGCTGGACCAGTACTCACAATTTTCTGAGAATATCCCACCAGCTGGATCTTACTGAGGGCAGCATTCACTTCTGGCATGGTGTAGCACTTCCTCCACATAGACACCTCCACGGCATCCTTCAGAGGGGCAGGCAGCAACCTGCAAAGATCAATGGGGTGTGGGCACTTTCAGAACTTCCTGATGCACCACCAGCTTTTGTTCCCATTTATAGTCTCCAGATCTTTGATTTTTCTTTTCCTATTTTTTTTAACTCTTTTCCTATTTTTTTTCTTTTTATTTTAAAGACACCTGGTGCTTCAAAGTGAGGAGCAAGACTTTCTGCCTGTGGAGGTGCAGAACCACACTGCCCATTTTGCCTCACCCCAAAGACTTGCTCTCCTTTAGCTCTCTTTGTTGTTGTTCCTACTCAGCTCTTTCATCAAAGAAGTAGCTGTGATGAAGGTGTTATAGCAACTCTTCTGGTGTTTTCACCACTGATCAAAGATGTTGGCTGATGTGACACGTGGACATGAAACACAACATTACAACAGGTAGAGATAAGTGGGGTCTTGAATCAGGGTCTGTTTTGCACATCCTGAGAGCCTGAAAACAACCCACAACCTTGTGATTAAAATGCAGCTACCAGACCATGAACAAAGGCTGGCTCTGCTCTCATTTTTGTCCCCAGTCTCCTAGGAGAGCACATGTCCCTGCCCCTCAGCTACCTGCTTGGCCTTCTGAGAGTCCTGGCATGGATACACAGCTGACACTGCAGAGCTCTCTGAACCCCCCCCCACGGAAGTATTTAAGATGTTTTACACCAAAGTGAAATCCATCCATTCTGCTCCTCCCAGACACAGCCAGCTCGCTGGACGGCGACGTCGAGGGAAGAAGTGAACTGGAATGTCAGGGGCTGTAAGAGAGATGGCCAACTTCTGGGAAATAAATCTTCCTCAGCAACGTGAACCAAGGCAGGAAGCAGCACAGCTGCCAAATGTGGAAGAAGAATAGGATTTTTTTTTTTGTATATTAAACCAATGCTAAATCAAAGGCCAATTCAAACCAATTTCCAAAGATTTATGGAAATTGGTCAAGTTTCTTTGATCAATTTGTTTAAAGGAATTTAATTTATTGTTCTATCTCCTAGGTCAGTGAACTCCTCCATAATTTAAGATACTGAAGAAGGGATTAAGGGCAGTGATTGCCAAGGCTGCTGTGCAGGTCCAGTGTGATAACTGTAATTCCAGCACAGGCTGGCTGAAAGTGTTTGGAGGAAACAAACAAAGCGTTCCAGGTCTTTTTTGGGAAGTCATAAGCAACAAAAGGCCAAACAATGTGGATAGTTGTCCACCGGTGCACTGAAGCAAATTGCCTGTAAAAGCCTTTAACCTACCCTAAGAAGCATTTAGTGTTGGATGCTTTCAGGGGCTCCTCTTCTGGGAAGAGGAGTATATATCTCCAGGTAATGGAGAAAAGTGGGAATTGTCCTTGGTGATTGAAGTTTCTATTAGCCTTGACTCTGTGGCTGCTCTGCAGATAGACTCTGCTCCCCCACAGACCAGTGGCACCAGTCTCCAGTGGTTTCATGCTGTGCTGAGTGGCACGGAGAGGTGAGGACTGTGGGTTCCTCAGATGTGCCCCTGCTGGCATGCCACCCACGCTTGTAGAATGTGTACAGAATGTTGCCAGAGGATATTTTGAAGCCTGGGGTGAATCTACTAACACTATGGCAACACCCTGTTATGGATCACCTCAGAACCACCAGAGGTATGTGGGCAGATGCTGGGACAGTCAACCTACAGCCACGTGGCCATCCCTGGATGTGTTTAGAAGTCCTGTAGATATGGTGCTCAAGGACATGGTTTAGCAGTGAACTTGGTAGAGTTAGGTTAATGATTGGACTTGATGATCTTAAAGATCTTTCTTCTAACCTAAATGATTCTATGATCTCAAACTGAGGCAATTTCTCTTTCCTAATAGGATTTTTTTTGGTGAGGATTCTCACTTCATCAAAATGTTTAATTACCATTCCAAAGAGGACATTTCCCCCACCAGTACATCCAGTACACTCCAACCTAGTTTATGTTTTAAGTAACTGGGGCCTGGCACTATGTGGTCTAGTGGGAGGTGTCCCTGCCCAGAGAGGGAGGGTTGGAACTAGATGATCTTTAAGGTCCCTTCCAACCCAAACCATTCTGTAATTCTAAGATTCTATGACATAATATGTTCTTGTTTGAAGGGAGAAGAGGATGGCAGCACCAAAGGAGATCAGAATGCTGGCCCCTCTTGTCCACTGCTCTTTCTCAGGAAACAGCCTGTTGCAGACACAGACAGATGTAAGAAACCATCAAAGAGGTAGTTGACAAAGTGTCTTTCACGAGGCAAACTTCCTCTTTAGGCCCCTAAATCCTAATCAGTGTGAAAGAGATCCTGGCTGAGCATCTGCAGAGCCTCCATGGAATTGCTCATTTAAAATAAAAACCAATGGTAGTAAAATTTGCTAAAGAATGAGTTCAGATTGGATCTGATAATGGAAAAACATAAGCCACTATAAAAAAACTTATTATATTTTATACAGTATTTGCATTTAAAATGCTTCAATGCTTTATCTAATGAAGATGATAACACTTTGTGTTTTAGACTAACTATTTAGAGTAGAACTAGCTGAACTGTAAAGCAGTAATGGTGATGGATCAGCCTGAAAAAATACAGTTAGACTCAGAAGTATTAAGTATTCTGTTCTAGCAATAGGAAGTAGTCAAAAAATCCACCAAGGAGCATGTTCTCTTAAATAAGGGCTGTCAGTCTACCCAAGCATGTGCTATTAGCCAGGTGTTAATTTGTGGATCAGGAGATGTTTGCTCACATTCCATAATAATCAGTTCCATTCACGCTTGTGTGACCCTTGTCACCAGGAGCCTCAAAACACTTTGCAAACATTAATTAAGCCCCTGTACACCCTCTGTGGTGGAGAAGAGCTCCATCTCACAGGAGCAGAGGGAGCTGAAGGGGGGAACTTGGAGGGGCCTGGTTGGAAAGGGAATTCCACTTTGTTGCCCTGCTCCAGCTCACAGACAACACTGGCTCCTACCAGCCTCCAGGCAGAGTTTAGGATTCGTGGACTTTTGCCACTGAGCAGCTGCAGGGCTAAGTCTGGCTGTGGGTGCTAGCCCAGCATGGCTCTGCTCTGCCTCTGTCTCACACTGGGGCAAGGTGTGCATTGAAAGCAGGGGGACCTGCCATCTGATCAAGGTTCCTTCAGGGAGACCCTCCTTTCAGCACTTCAAGGGGACCTCAAAGAAAGCTGGGGACAGTCTCTTTAGCAAGGCCTGTTGGGACAGGACAAGGAGGGGGTGGTTTGAAACTCCCAAGAGGGAGACTGATTCTGGGGAGAAGGAAGAAATTGTTGCTGCTGAGGGTGTTGAGCCCCTGGCCCAGGCTGCCCAGAGAGGTGGTCGCTGCCCCATCCCTGGCACCATCCCAGGGGAGGTTGGCCGGGGCTCTGAGCACCCTGCTCTAGCTGCAGATGTCCCTGCTCCCTGCAGGGGGTTGGGCTGGGTGACCTTGAAAGGTCCCTTCCCACCCAAACCATTCTGTGATTCTGACAACACACAATAATGTGTCAGTGCTCTCTGCCCCACAGAGGTCCTGGTCCTGTCTGTCCCCAGGAGGTCGACTCTTACACCTTCCTCCTCCCTCCACTGGCACCCCAAGAGCTGTGTGATCGTATCAAGGAGGAACTATCAATGTTAGGGTACTTCCCAAGCAAAATGAGTCAGAAAAATGTATTTTAAATGCTGTTCCATCAAAAAGACTCCAGCCTTCTACAGGAGTTGAATGAGAACAAAGATCACCTCTCTGTGTTCGCCTCTGGAATAGTCAACAGCACACAAAGTGCTAGGCAGCACTTTTCCTAAAATACGACCACCAGGAAAGTGACATTAAATGAGCTCCAAGATATATGATCCTCCTTTAAACCATGCATACAAAACACAGGCAGTCGTGTGACCGGAATAACGGCTCCAGTTCTCCCTTCACATCACTCTGAGCTTCAGGAGCAGTTCTGGTCAGGCCAGCAGAGTCAGAATTAACCTAAACCTCACCGTGCTGATCAGAGTATACATCAACCAGCACAAAATCCTCATCAACTTTATTGTCTTTAGTTTTGTTTTACAGCTATGTTTCACCTGCCTTCCTTGGAAGAGTGAGAGTTACAGTGTGGAGATAAGACTGCTCCTAAGCTCAGCAGGGGAGCACACTACAAAGCTGTAAGGATACATTAATTTGGATTTTTTGTTTCTTTGCTTTGTGATATTGGGAAATATCAAGACTACTTTTATAATGTATGTAATAAATCATTTTTAGCAAACCTTTAAATCAAGCCACGCTAAGTATTAGGACTAGAAAATGGGAGATCAATTAAAAATGCACAAAACACCTTTCAAAAATAACTTTCTAATCAACCAGCCCTATCTTTAAAATGTGCTAAAACCAAAACTGTCTCCTCCACAGAACATGTTGTGCACCTCAAGTTGGTTTTATTTCCAAGGAAAGCATTATCTGCAATTAGTAAACTGTATGGATGATTTTTAGATTACATAAGCTTTCAAAATTTTAGATGTTGAAGAACTCAGTTTTGAGTATCTTGTTTTTACATATAGATGGAATAACAAATGTGGAGTTTCCAACTAACCTTCTTTATTCAGATTTCAGTTTGTTTTTAAGCTTTGAAAAGCTCCCAAGAAACAGCTTTGCTGTTCAAGTGAGAGAGGCTGGGAAGGAAGGTAGCACTGCTCTGTGGCTGGCCACCAGTGACCTCCAACAGTTGTGTCTTGAATTTCTTACCACTTCAGGAAACATGACTGTAAATATAATTTTAAATTAAAAATATTCCAAGACAGTTCATTTTTAACAGCTTGCTAATTTAAACAGCTTTTAATGATGCTAATACAAAAATCTGCTGGTTTTATCTATCACCATGGAGCTTAATTATATGAGGTGAGATCAAGGGAGACTTTTGTGTTACCCAGTCTCCCCTCAGGAATCAAACTTGGCCTCAGTTGGTTTGGTGGCTGCTTGGAAGACCAAAAACATCCAAATCACTAACGAATTACTTGACCCAGGGAATCACAGCTGCAAACCTCTTGGGCTTTTATTTCTGCTCAGTGGTTGTAGCAATCTCAAATGGTGGCAGCTGACCCATCACTGAGTGAATTCTAAACTTTGGTTAGTGTTTTAGGACAACCATGGTGGCCAGGTGGCTTGTTCCTTACCTCTGTACCTCCTTGTTCTTCCACATGGAGGCAGACTGAGCCTTTGGCACACGTTCAATGGAATTCACCAGTTCTTCCATGAGAAGTCTGAAAAGGGTTGTAGCTAAATCAGTATTGCAGCCTTTCACACAGCAGAGAACTCTGTCCCAAATGTTTCCAGAACACCACACCGATTTTAACACTATTAGGCAGTTTTAGAGAGGTTCCTCCCGTGGAAGCATCACAGAAATTACCCCAGTTTGCCCAGTCAGTGCATCAAACTCCAGTTTGCTCTGTGCCTGCTTGTGACAGCAGAGGCTCTGGCCCTGAAAGTGGCAGGACAAGAGGAATTCCCAAATCTCTCTCTTGCTGTGCAAGATGATTTCTTCATTTCTGACTGATGTCATATGGAATGAGATAAAATATACAAAGAAAACTTGTTAGCTGCTGCCTGTTTATCACTTGGAGGAGTCAAGCCCATTGTCAGAGTGAACTCTCCTCAAATGCACAATACAGCATTTGAGACAGAAAAACATGTCAGGCATTAAAAACTGGCCCTGCAGATTTCACTGCCCAAAACTAACCAGCATTTTTCATGGTATGCAATATGCAATTGTACAATTCCCTGGCAGGTAGGAAATGACCAGTGTAACTGCAGAAGAATGGTATCTGGAATGACTTGGGGAGGGCAGAAGCACACCAGTGTACACTTCAACAAGCCTGTCCTTGTTATCTTCAGCTAAGGGCCAGCAGTACCCTGGAGGTCTACCACTGGTTCATATTTATACAATTTCTTTCTCCTACGAGGCTCTTCAGTTTCTGTTTGTTTTTACACCAAGGGAGAATTGCTGCAGTGTGGAAAGTTTGCACAGGAGCTTTAACAAAGATTCCTGCCCTGAAGTGCTTATGGAGTAGTTCAGATCTCATGGCCTAATCTGGATTTCTAATTATTGACCATGGCAGCTCTTCTGCATGAGGGACACATGCAGCACAAGGCCAGTTAAGACTCTATCCAGGGCCAAACCTGCAGCCTTTGGTATTGACCTATCCAATCACCTGAACATCTCTTAGAATCACAGAAACCCTTTGGCTGGAAAAGATCTCCATGATCATTGAGTCCAACCATTCGTCTCCTTGCAGGGAGGCTGAGCTGGGGTTGTTCAGCCTGGAGAAGAGAAGGCTCCAGGGAGACCCTGCAGCCCTTCAGTACTTCAAGGGGCCTGTCAGGAAAGATTTTTGACCAGGGCCTGTTGTGACATGACATGGAGGGATGGTTTGAATCTAAAAGAGGGGACATTCAGACTAGATATGAGGAAGAACCTTTCTACACTGATAGTGGTGATACCCCTGCCTAGGTTGTCCAGAGAGGCAGTAGAAGCCCTGTGCATGGCAGCCTTCCATGTCAGGTTGGACAGGACTCTGAGCAACCTGCTCTAGTTGGGGATGACCTTGCTCAGTGCAGGAGGTTTGGACTACATGACCTCTAAAGGTCCTTTCCAACCTAAACCATTGTACAATTCTGTGGTTCTATGAACTTTGTAGGAAAAGACTGCCAAATTTGGTGACTAAGTACTAAGTTTTGGACTGCACTGTTAGGTTCTATGAACTTTGTAAGAAAAGACTGCCAAATTTGATGACCAAGTACTAAGTTTTGGACTGCACTGTTAGGTCTTCCATTTTCTACTTCAGTCTCATATTTCTGCTGTTTTTCTTAGTGCTCCTCTTTGGGGTGCAGAGCTGAAGTATGTCAGCTGCCATGTGAGATGAAGCCAGCTGAAATTCCTTTCCCTTCCATGGTGTGAAGTGTGATTATATGAATTTCAAATGCTGAAGAACTACAAAGCCATGATCTTAGAGTCATTTATTGTTGAAAAGATTGGTGATTCTTCTTTTGTTTAAGAAGAGCAGGAGAGATCTTTGATTCATGGGTTTTGGAATTTTAAAGTTGGCTAGATGGTGAATGCTGTTCAAGATGTCTCAGTCCACCCAAAATCTACTATCCCACATCTACTGCCTGCTGCCTCTACTCACCACAAAGCACCTGCTGTAAATGTTGAACAGGGACAGTTCCAGAGCTTGGGAAACATTGAGTTAACACATTTGCAGCACTAAGGACTTGGCTGGTGTTCAGCTACTGCCTAAGAGCCTCTTCGGAACATTAGACACCACTCCTCTACCCATATTGTCCTTTACACCTTTTCCCAAGCAGTGATGAAAGAGGAGTAGAGAATATGAAGGGTTTTTTTTACCTGCCAATTTGAACAGTGGGCTCAGTGGCATACACTGTTCCTGTGAATCCTGTGTACTCTGTGATATAGGGCAGTGCCATCATGCAGTGATAGTTTGAGATCAAGATAACATCCACTGTGGAGAGGTCAAGCAGCTCAGTCTGAAAACAGAGGAAGGAGATAAGCAACATGTAACCCGTTTAAGCAACAGCAGTAAAACTTTCTTCTTTTTTTTTTAAATATCTTTATATTGCATGACTGTAACTGGTTTATTAAAAAAACTGTGAGAGGAGGGCATGTCTCATCTGTGGCAAAGATTAATGTTTCCTTTAAATAAACAGGATTTATTTTAAAAGCCCCTTAGAATTTTTCCCTTCTCAACCCTGAAAAAGAAACCACGTCCTGCATGTGTCTGTCTGTCATGGAGTGAAATGGCTGCTGTTGAGAGAGCTGTGATGATAACACCTTTATCAAAGAGCTGACAGGTGCCCTTCCTTGGGGAGGAACACTCTGCAGCCACTAAAACTTCTGCAGCAGCCATTTCATAGGGTGCCTCTTTAATTTTCTGTGGCACAGGGTGCTGTACCTCAGGAGAGTGAGAAAGATCAACGTAGATTCTATTCATATGCTTAAAATAATTCTCATATTTTCCCAAACTAAGTGCTTGGCATCTTTATCATTCACATTTTCTACAGCAGGAGATTAAGCTCATTCACAGGCTACAACAAAACAGACGGGTGGGCCCAATTTGTTTTGATGTGACAGTTAAGACAGCAGTTCAGAGAGTGAAAGAAGATTTCACACATTGTTAAAGGAATTTTAATTAGAAATATTTACTGGTAATGCTGTAACACAAATGCTGTCAAGTCAGAAATGTACAAGATATATGACCTCTAACTTGGTTATTATAGAGCAGCTAATGGAATTCAACACTCATCAAGCACATATTATCTGATTACAAGGCTGGGTCCAGCAATTTGAATAAAAAAGGCAAGAAAGTAGGTCACTCAGCTTTTCAGAGGGCTGACACACTGCTCTGGTGACAAGCTGCTTAACTCATAGCTAAGTGTTCCTGGTTTCAATCCACCATCCCAGCTGATGTGGGAGGCAGGATCTCCACGCTGAGTCCAGCGGGTGAAACACCATCCCCAGACAGGGCACCCTGTTACCTCCCTGAGCTTGCCAGGCAGAAATACACTCACCACTGGCATCAGAGAGTCTGCTGGCCCCTGCTCCTGCCCCACTGGCCCTTCCTGGCCTGCTCTGCAGCAGTGTCCACACCACAGGAAACCAAATGGGGAGTTGCTCAGCCCAGTGAGCCCAGCAGGAGGATGCAGGCTGCTGCTTTCCAAGCCTAGAGCATCCCATGTCTCAGCACCCTAGAAGCATTTGCTAATAGGATGAAAAAGGTGTCAAAACCAAAACGAAGGAAAATCTTCCCTGGGACTTGTGGCCATCTCACTAAAAGCACCTACGAGCTGAAAAAAGTTTAAAAATGTTTCTTGACTGTGAAGTGAGAGAGACCAGAGGGTTGCCAAGCCACGGGAGGGCTGCACCCTGCACTCTGCCACGTGGAAGTGCACTCTGCTGCCCAGACAGCCTCTTATCATCTTGTGGCTTCTGGATTACATTCAAAACCTGCCTTGCTTTGGCAGTGGAGTTCCTGGAAGTGATACTGTGATTCTCAAAGTAACTGCTGCTGCAGACAAGTTGGTTCAAAAGAAGTGGTGTGGAAGGAGAGAAGACAAAGCCCTCTCTCACACAAGCTCCTTCTTGCACTGTGCTGCCAAACACTGGCACCAGTTCAGCCCTGCTGCTGGTCCCACTGGCCCTGACACCTGAACCCTCCTGCAGACAGGCTTGTGAGGCCAGACACCAGCTGTGCATCGCCAGAGGATCTGATCTTACTGCTCATGCAGAACACTTGGCACCCACTGGGAACTTTGGGAACCAAAGCATTTGAGGGCATTTGTAAGGTCCCTACAACAGTGACACGTGCAGCTGGTTGTTGTCTTCTGGCTGTAACACAGGCTGCTGGGAACCACAGGACATTCGGTGGCGACACTGGTGTAACGAAGCAGCAGCTCCCCAGCAGCTGGATTCAGAGCTACATGTGTGGGTATTTTCCAGCCCAACAAAGTAACTAGAAAGCACCTTAAATCCCAGCAGATTATCATTCCTGGGCACGGCCTCAATCCCAAAGGGAATCAAGAACATAAACTCCATCCTTCCCAAGATCTGGGCCATAATGGCACTTTCTAGGCATACAGATGCTTCCTGCATCCCTCCCTTCCACCAGACAGCACCCAGAAAGCCCACAAGAACTCAGAATTATTAGGTCTTGTTTGTTTGGTGTTGTTTTAGCTTTGCTTTGTTTTATTGTGGTTGGATTATATCCATTCCAGTTGGGGAAAACAAGCCATTGCACACAGATCTGTTGATATCACTTGCCAAAAGCAGGACCAGAACTGCCAGCTTGCTTCAAAGAATCAAGATGACAAGAGTCAGAAGCTGCAAGAGGTGAGTTTCGTGGAATCAAAAGACAGAAATGCTGTTGCCAGAACCCCAGCGATGTGACAACATCCCTCCAGGAATGTTTTGTACTTCCTGTCAACAAGGTCAGGCAGAAAGGCAAAAAAAAAAAAGATCACTGCCCAAAAGCAATCATCTCTGTCTTTGAAAGGCAGAGAAAACATCCTAACAAGCAATGAAAGGACTGATGGTATCAGTCTGAACACAGCTGAGGAAAGAGGACACTAGCCCCAGATTATTCTCCATCATTCACCTCCACCACTCTCTGCTCAGCTTCTGACTTCTTCAGCTCTCCCACACAGCCCATTGATCTGAGCAGGCAGGTGAGCCAAGTTAATTCAGTCCTTTTCAATAGCCCTGCTATTTCTTTTTATAAATCCAGGTATTCTTGAAAAAAACCCAACAGCTCAAGAAGCAGCCACGTGCAGTTCTGTCAGTGGACATGAAGGAACACTTCCTCCCTCACAGAGGCAGTGATGAATAGATAGGGAGGCAGCAAAACTTCTTAACCTAAATCTGCTGCTGGCAAAACCACGTCTGAGTGCAGCCCAGAGACTCTAACAGTGGCTCCCCCAGGTTTCAATAGTCCTGCTATTTTTTTTTTTTATAAACCCAGGTATTCTTGAAAAAAAACCCAACAGCTCAAGAAGCAGCCACGTGCAGTTCTGTCAGTGGACATGAAGGAACACTTCCTCCCTCACAGAGGCAGTGATGAATAGATAGGGAGGCAGCAAAACTTTTTAACCTAAATCTGCTGCTGGCAAAACCACATCTGAGTGCAGCCCAGAGACTCTAACAGTGGCTCCCCCAGGGAGCTCCATGAGGCAGGTCATGCCTCTGTGGTTAGAGACAGGCAGCTTTCCTTGTCTTCATGTGCTGCCCTTATCTAGATCAGCACATGTATCCTGTCACAGCTGAGTCCAGCCCAGCCATATTTCTTTGGAAAGTCCACATAAAAGGACAGTTAAGTCTTATTCTTCTCTGAGATACTGATCTGCTTGAGGAGATCTTCCAGGTCTCCCAAAACCATTGTCAAAAAGTTCTGTTTCCATCCTTTCTCCAGTGTCATAGATACCAGAGGCACCTTAACAACACAGATTTTAGTAGTATTACTTACTGAGTACTAATAATTAGCATGAATCTAACAATAATAACTTAGAAAGTTATCCCACATGACTGAATGGAGTCAAGATTTTTCAGGAAGGCTCTGAACAAACTCACCTCTGGTAAACAGAACTCAGGCACAGAGTCTACAAACACGTGGCCAGAGCACTCCTTTAGCTCCTGGAAGCAAAGCACAACAGAGAAGACATAAAAATACAATGCAACATTACTCCAGTGCTGCAGATGTTGCACTTTCAAAACCTTTTATCTTCTTGGTGCTTCAGGGGATCAGTTTGGAGGAGCAGAGACAGTACTCTGGTGGGCACAGAAAGTGACCACTGACTGGTTTTGCTGGGGCCATGAAGAAGTTCTGTCCTAGGAAGCTGCATTTTCTCTGCTTTTCAAACTGCAGGTGTTTTAGCTGGGAAATCTGTAACAATGCCAGTTATTTTGTCTATCAGAATCAAAGCTGGGCAGTGAAGCCCACTCTTGCTGCTCTCCAGACCTGGAAGGTGTGCACAACACCTTTATAGAGCCCAGGACATCTCACAGGTTTGGAATTTAGTTTTGGTTCCAAGTAACAAACTTCTGTCATCCTAGGAGCAGAATACTGGTTTTAGCCTCTCTCAGAGCCTTTGACAAAACACCTTTTAGGATCTAACCATGGTACTTTTTGTGAGATTTCTCTCTACTGGATCTCTACTCCTCTATTTTCTTCCTCTTTTTTTGAGGCTGACATCAGCAGTCTTTGTCACGTGAGAACACAACACCTTTATAGAGCCCAGGACATCTCACAGGTTTGTAATTTAGTTTTGATTCCAAGTAACAAACTTCTTCTGTCATCCTAGGAGCAGAAATCTGTTTTTAGCCTCTCTCAGAGCCTTTGACAAAACACCTTTTAGGATCTAACCATGGTACTTTTTGTGAGATTTCTCTCTACTGGATCTCTACTCCTCTATTTTCTTCCTCTTTTTTTGAGGCTGACATCAGCAGTCTTTGTCACGTGAGAAGTCACATTCTTCAGGCTTACATATGGCACAAAAATATTCCCAACTCTTCTCCTAACACACCTCACAGGCTACCTATCAGACACTCTGCACTCTCTCGTGGATGCTTCTCCTGCTTGTCCCAAAGCGAGTGGTCTCAGCCAGCTTCAGCCTGACAGAATTAAAGATTGAATCCAGTTCTTAATAATTACAGTGCACCTGCCAACTAATAACGAATGAGCAATTACATCTAGTGGCAGAAGTCTCCTAACCTCATCTCCAGGGAGTTCAAAATGATTAAAACTAGATGGTAGCAAATTTCAATGCCTCTCCAGGACTTAAGTTTTATAACTGTCATCCAGAGAGTGCTATAACAGGAATGTCCACCCTACATGATAAAACAGCCCCCTTTGACTCCTTCCTTTGCCTTTTTCCAGCAGGGGTCAAAGAATTTACCATTCCAAGCAGTCACAATGGTCAAGGTGAAGGTAAGAGAGGCTGCCTTTGAATTTTTAACAGATGATTTCCATTGATGCTGTGTGAATGTGAAGATTTCTCCTGAGTGCAGCAGCACTGCAGAAATGTAAATACATCACCTAGAAAAGTCCACTGGCAGCCTAGCTGGTCTTCAGACAGCTCTGAGACTGGGGCTCTGGAGAAGCAAATTCCAGGGAATTCAAACTGGGCAACTCCATTCAAGAGCCTCTGTAGCTCTGCAACTGCCAGCTAGCCTGTGCTCTGAATAGAGCTGTTACTATTTTATTAACAGAAATGCTGCCTATACAGTTTCTTTTGTCTCCAGTGAGAAGAAAAATCAGGTCTTTAATCTATGATCTTCAGCTCCCTTGCCTGTAAAAATCAGATCAAACCATTTTGTCCACCTCAAAGTCCCCTACAAAAGCAACTATTATGACTGTTCTCCTTTAATGTTCACATGGTCAGAGAACAGTCTATTAAATCAGCATTTTCTCTACTGATACCTATTGCTGCCCACATTTGAAATGTATCTGCCTATTTTACTAACATCTGACATATTCTTGTGTTCATTGTTCCCCTGTGGCACATCAAGCTGGACGCTGTGGTGCTTGGTTTTGGTTGAAGCCCCAGATAAATTCTGCCTACAAAACTAATGTAATGAAAAGGGGGGGAAAGAAAAATTTTGTCTCTCATGTAGCTGAGTGAGTTCTGTGTCTTAGAATTAGGAGGCTGGAGATAATATCCTCCCTGCTATGGCCAGCAGCAGACCACGTGTTGATTCAGAGGCCAAAGACAAACTTTTCCTCTGTGAGAGACCTCCCATGGGCAAACCATTCACCTTCTCTCAGTCCTCCTCTCTAAAAAGGGTAAGATACCAATCTCATTTATAAGGATGCCATGAAGCTTTAGTGTCAGAAAAGCAGCTGTTGAATGAAAGGCACGTTAAGAAGGCAAAGCACTATTATTTATGGAGCTCCACAAAGTAAGAAAATATTCACACTGCTGATTTCTACATTTTAAGAGGATTTTTTAAAGAGCTAGGCTACTTCTGAAGCCTCAGAGTTGCTATTAGCATTTTGTTTCCAAATGTTCTGCTCTGCAAGGACACCGTGGCTGGTAAGGGTGCACACAGCAGCCTGTGGGATGAGTCAGCATGGAAGTGCTGCTCCTGCCATGCAAGCTCCTCACCCCTCAGGAAGCTTCTTGCACAGCAAGAGAATCCTAACCATCAGCACAGTACCTTGTCCAGAAACGTGCTTCCATCTTTCAAAACCCAACCAGGAAGTTTGGACAGCCTGGGGCTGCAGAAAGAGAGGAAAAACAGTTATTGCACTATGAATTGTTTCAGTTTCACTCTGTTCACGTGGTCACCAAAATGACTTTTACAAATCATGATTATGACACTTGAAAGGAAAAAGTAGGATGCTGTGTGCAGGGAGTTTGATTGCAGTCTCTCAAGGTGAGGATTTCAGAAAGGCTCAGTGCTGCCCTGTGGTGCAACTGGCTGTATAAATAAATAGAAGAAGGGTTAGGGCAGCAACAAACTCTGCCTGAAACTATACAAAAGCACCATAAAAGCACTCAGGGACAAAGGAAGGCAAATATTCCCACTAGTAATGGCAGGGAAAGACCAACACTCTGGATTCAGTCATTTATAGACACAGAGGTTGTGATTTTACATCCAAGCCCTGGTTTCATGCCTCAGTGTCAGCCTGAAGAGCCCCACTGAGAGCTGAACAGGGCCTTTCCCTGTGCTGGAAGGACAAAGGAGCAAGGAGGGTTTGCTGTGAGCTGTGTGTGTTTTAAGCTGGCAGGTCTGGTACCAGCCAGCAATGGCAGGACCCCTTTTTAAAATCATTTCAAATGCTAATAAAGAAACTTCAAGGTGGATGTTGTGATCCTGAGTTTACAGCACTAATTGCTGCAGCACTTCTGACTGCCATAATTGAGAGATTTATTCATACTTCACAGTGACATTTGATTTTCCTGTGAGCCTACAACTTTGCTCTAAAAGCACTACCTGCCCAGATTCAAGCATACCCACAGGAAAGTTGAGGAAACAAGAGAAGTGTACCCACCTGTACCCAGCCCTGAAACAGTCTCAGATTTGCAGAGAGGACTTGGGAGCCCAGTTGCAATGAAATCTGCAACTGTTGTGCACTAAGCTCTACAGACAGCCAGGCTTATATGCTATAAGATCTTTCAAATTCAAAACCTTGAATATAGAAAGTGATTCAAGGGCTCAGAGGAATGTTGTGTGCAGACTAACATCCATATCAAAGAAAGAATCCTAACTGGCACTCTAGAAGGTCACAAGGAAGGGGAAAGGGGAAATCTAAGACTCAGGGAGTGAAGACAGAAGGTAAGAGGTGAGAGCAGAAGGCTGTGTCATCAAGGAGCTATGCCAGAGAAGTGAGACCCCCTTTTGAGGATAAAGAGTAAGTCTGAAGAAGTCTGATGGTAGAAAAAATGAGGTGGCTAAATGTACTCCCCACTGACACACTCAAAAGCACAATTTCAGAGCAGTATTTTGGAGACTGAGGGGGCTCAGTAGAACTGATGCAGAGAGACTAAAAGGGCTGTGGGATGAGCAAGGACAAACCACTCTGATATGCAGCAACTCTGACAGATAAAGGGAGGAGAGAACAGAAGCCTTGGTTGGAAGGGACATCTGGAGGCCTGTAGTCCCATGTCTCAAAGCCAGCACTACACCAGGTCAGTCATGGCTTTGTCCAGCTGTGTCTTGCAAATCCCCAGAGCATGAGATTCTAGAGTTGCTCTGGGGATAGGTGAAAGATGTCTTCATCACTGGGAGGCTGATGTCCAACCTGAGCCTCCCAAGACACAATTTGTGCCCACTACCCCCCTACACTGCCTGCCACTGCTGAAGAGAGTTTGGCTTGGTTGCCTTCAAGCAGATGTAGGTGGCCATTAGCTGCCCATCCATCCTCCTCTCTGCCAGCCTGAACAAGCCCAGCTCCCTCAACCTCTCTGTGTAGCCATGAGCTCCAGACCCTGACCATCTTGAAGACCCTCTCCAGCTTCCCTGCATACCTCTTCGACTGGGAATCCAAACCTGGATCCCTTTGTGGCTTCACCAGCACGAGGCAGAGCAGAACACACTTCCCTTGGTAGGCACACCCTACTCCCCCTGATTTAGCCTAGTGTGTGCTATGCTTTGTTCTTGTCCTAAACCTGGCATTCACTGAGGAGTAAAGTCTTGCCTAGAGAGGCAAAATTAGCACATAGGTCTCGTGTGTGGGTGAAAGTGCAGTAAGCAACACAGGACAGAAAGGACTCTTTACCTTGAAGTAACACAGTTCCTGTCGACACAGTTTTGACATTGTAATAGAGTGATTGATTAATCCAAAATAGCTAGAACTGTCCCATAAATAATGTGAGCAAGTGTGTCATGGCTAGACAGGAAAGGTTAAGAGCTTCCGACATGTTCATTTCACCGTTTTGCATTTGACTTTGGTACAGGGGAGAAAACTCCAGTTGACAAACCTCCTTTAAAGGACATGAACTGGCAAAAAGTGTTTGCCAAGTGCAGGTACTTTGCACATGCTCCATGGGCTGGTGAGAACAAGGGCTGCCATTTCCAGGGCAAGGTGGAATCTAAATGCCTTTTGCCAGGCTTTTTCTTTTTTGAAGAGTGAAGAACTCTAAAAAATGTCCAGTCCCTTTCATGACACAAACACTACAGCACTTTCCTCTCTTATAGATGAAAGCACAGGCTCTCAAACTGTTTGCTCAAGGAGGGCCCCATGCCAACACGACACAGGATTTAGCTGCATAGCAAAGATCCTGTGTAACATCATACCTTTATGCTCCACAGGGGTAAAAATTAGGGCACCTCTGCAGACCATGTACTGAGACCTGCAGAACCCAAGAGGTTCATGGATCATACTCTGGGGACCACTGGTTTAAAGACAGCAGAGAGAAAAAGAGGTCCTCTCTGGTTAAAATTTCACATGGGTCCACCTCAGGCTACCTGCAAGAAGCAGCACATCTCATTCTGAGAGGATGTACAACCAGCAGCAATCTAGGATCTGACAAACCTAGGTTCAAATTCTCTACACTGCTACATGCTTCAGACAAGACCTCCAGCAGTCAGTCCACCTGGAAACTGAAGATCCTGTCAGCTCTCCATCACCAGGCCAAGTTATGTTGATAATACACATTTGAATTTCAGAGGTATTTAGACACCACGCTAATGGAGACCTGATATATCATGGTCCAACTATGAATACCACAGAGAGATAAGGACTTTGCAGTGGCAGCCACACTCCTTCTCGAGTTTCTAACTCATTTCCACAGCTCCCTGCAGGACATGTGCTGAAGAGTGCTGAAGAGATCAATTACTTGCCCAAGTCCATGAGCTTAGGACTATCCTTGCTGTAAGGGGTGTTCAATCACCTCCCCGACAAGATTGATTGGATTTAAATCCAAGTGTTTGCTCCGATTCCACTGGGCCATCAGGGGTCATATCTGACATCCTTTCTTATTGAGTTTGAGTCATTTTAGTGCAGACATTCTGGAGGTGCTTGGGGAATTCCAGGTTGTGACCTGCAATTTGGCTGTTCATTCCCAGGGTCTGCTATCAGCAGATGAAGCTGGCACATCCCCGGGGAGCCCTGATGCCTGCAGTCCTAAAGAACCTCCTAAGCCTTTGGCCAATCACCTCATTTTGCTACTTGTTTCTCTCTCAATTTTTTTTTCCCCTCTGAGGGGTGGAAGAATAGGAATGCAAGGCAATTCTGTCTGTGCCTGGATTTCCTGAGTTTTCTGGATCCCTTCAAGATCTATTCCTGCCCTGAAATGTTGTAGTTAGCAATTGCACTGCAGAGCAATGCATATTTTGTCTATTCTTTTCCTCTCCAGAAACTAACAAATCACAGGAGGTTGGACAAACTGCTTTAACCCCATTAGGTCACTTAGGAAACTCCCTTTCCCAATCACATTCTCCCCCTCTCAATCAAGCCTCCTCTGCACCCAAAATGTTCCTCACTTGTTTCCTCTTGGATTAAAGTGACTAAATGACTTTTGTGAGAACTCCTGCTGCTCCCCATCACCCAGAATAACCCATTCCCACCTCTCCAACCCCTCATTTTTGTAATTTATTCCATTTATGCAAGACATAAGCCACCCTAACTAAACATCCAAATTCATCTAAAAGCCTATGACTTTGTAGCTAGGACACAGAAGGGGGAGTCTTGATCTCAGGATTCTCTTCTAGACTCGACGTTTGTTCCATTCCTGTGCCCTGCTGCACTTGCCCTTTTCATTTATTTAATTTTTAAAAGGGAACAACAATGCCATCAAGTCAACTAAGGAGGACTGCTAAGTGCTATTTTTCTTTGCATTAGGCTGTGCTCTGAAGAAAAGCCTGAGAAGACAGTGGTTAAGCAGCACTTGCTGGGCTCCATGCACTCCACCTCGGTTACCCATTTATCTCATCTCCCACGAAGAAGCCAGAAAGATGACAGATATGTGACCTCACTTGTGCTGAGCAGTTGCAGCAATACTTTACTGAAGCTTAGAATAAATTATCTAGAAAAACCAATCAATAAATCCATAAAATGTCTTCCGTCGACTGAGCCAAAGGACGTTATTTTGATAAAGAGAATTTTTAAGTGAACAAAGTCTATTTATGATATCAGATGATGCTGTTCATTTGTGTTCCTCCCCTCCCTCCTTCCAGCACCCCACTGCACGCAGAGCAACCCACCTCCTGCCCAAAAAGACAGGAGTAAGAGCTTGGAGGCTGCAGGACGTACCTCTGAACCAGTGGCAGGGGGAGGAAATTGAGGGTGGATGTCATATCCAGGCCACAGTCCAACATGATGGTGGTGGACTTGAACTTGAGCACGTTGCATGGTAAGGTTGGGTGTCCTGACAGGCAGTACTGGAAGAAGAATATGAGGAGGAGTTACTCATGACCTTTCCCAGCAGAGTGAAGCCCCCTGAGAAGTGCTTTTTTTTCTCCCCTTATTTTTAAATATGTAGTTTCATGCATGGCAGAAAAAAAAAAGATTTCCTGTCACTCTGTGTCTCCCAGCTGCCTGTGCCTGTTAAGATTTCACCACATCAGGGTTCTGAGGGGCAGATTTTCTTCAGACAAGTTTTTCTGATCACAGGGGTTGAGAGGATGACACAGCTCCACTCTCCAGTTTCAGACAGACAGAATCTCTTTTCTAACACCCACCTATTTCCACCCCAATCCCAGAAAATCAGTTTCTTTAAAACTCAGTCCCACTAGAAAAACTTGGCTGACATTGGCCAGCAAATTGGAAAACTACTTGGGGTAGAAAGGGAGGGAGAGAATCGCTGCAGGAATCCAAATTTTATACCCTTAAGAACCCAGCCTGAACAAGCAAAGGTGCAGCCCAGACCTTCTGTGGCCCCTTGGCACAGAGGAAGCTGCAGGTGTGTGGCAGCAGCTCTGGGGCATTGCTCTCACCTGCTTTTTGTCTTGCTAAAGCAAACAGGAAACAGGAGGGAATGGACAACTGCCCCTGAATGGAAGGGTTTGTGTACTGGGAGATCCCAAATTATTTGCCAGCTTAACGAGCCACTAAGCAGGTAATGTGCAGGGGCACTCCGGCATCATTGAGATGCAGCCACCTCTTGGCTGGAGAGTGGCAAACATTTAGGAGGCACAGGAGCAGCTGAAGCTCTGAATAAGAAGAGAATAAAAATACCAGCTTTAAAATGTGGCTATCTGCCCCTTAGCGTTTCTCTTCCTTCTTCAGGGGCTGCAAGAACAGGGAGATTTTGCACCTCCACCACAGATTTTTGCATCTCAGAAGTCTGGGCAGCTGCAGCAACGCTCAGGTGGTCAAACTTCAACTTTAAATTCAAGTTTTGGTCAATTAAGATGACAAATAGCAGTTGGTTGCCCATGCACTGCACTAAAAACAGACTCAGTCATTTTCTAAGTCATTTAAACCCCACGCTTGCTTTCTGCACTTCACTCTACAAAGCAGCAAGAAGGCAGATTCATCATTTCAGTTCCTACCTCTGCTCACAATATGTTAACACAGGACTGCAACTGTCTGGATTAACAACTCCCAAGGAGTCCATTTCCATGCATGCATCAAAAACCTGCTTTAAATTATATTTAAATATTAAAAAAAAAAAGCTACTAAGCCCCAAATATTAAATTAAAATTATGGCAAAGACTTTGGTTTTAGATTCACAAAGGCTTAATTATGAAGGAGCAACATTCCATTTTGCCTGCTGTTAGAAAATTTAAAAAGAAAACAAAATTAGAAGCCAAGCTGGTGAAGAAATGAGTGGACAAGTGAGGAATTCAGTTCTTTTATTTGTAAATGTCAAACACATATGTGAAATTAAGTTCTCACCAGAGCAGAACTTTTGACAACTGAAGCTATAAATCCAAGTAAATAGAAAGAAACAGAGGAAAAAATAAAATCTCAACTATTTTTATAGCTTTTAAACAATCAGTAATTAAAAAAGGCAATGAAATATCACCACTTTTAGCAGCAAAACATTTTCTTGCCTTTTTAAAAGAAAAAACATGACTAGGATCATGACCCTGACATCTATGAGTTGACTGGAAAAATCTTCTTTTTTTTCTTATTTAAAAGCATCTAAAATAATCTATAACTGTGGCTGTCACACTGTGGTAAATGGATTCCTGGGCATCAATGGACTTTTTCTACCAGATTCAAGTAAAGTGACTAAAAAAAAAACCCAAAAAAGCAATTCCTGTATGCTGCTGTTTGCAGAGCTGACGTTTCTGAGCTGGTACCTCTGTTGGAACTTTAGATTAGGAAGCCAAGAAGGTGTCTGCACTACCTGTGCCTCTATTCACACTATAAATGTGACCATTTCCAGCCAGTTTATACTTGTAACTGTTTAAAACACACCCAGATCCCAGTTGTTGATATTCCTGACCAGACTAAAAGGCAACTCAAGCTCTTTTTGCTCTAAGATTTGTCTGCTTCCACCTTTATTCCCTTAGTGCAGGTAACACACCGGGTGCTCCATCTCCTAAAATAAAAGCCAGGCATGGAGAAAACTGACAAAACATACAAAAAACAGCTCCCAGCTTTCTTGAAAGGCTTTGTAAAGGGGGTGAACTTTTGGCAGAAAGGGGCATCCTTAGTCCAGATGCTGAGGCCCTCAGAGAGGTAGACTCTTGGCAGACATTTCTGGTTCACACCAAGCTGGATCCCATGGATGGCAATGGGACAGGGACACCAGATGATGGCTCACACCAGCAGCTCCATAACACTCACAGTTTTGCAGCCAGTGCTTTGAATTCCAACTAAAGTCAACAAATACTTCTGTGTGTTTTTTCTAGGATAAGTATCACGTGCTGGCTTAAAATCTAGGGGGAAATTAGGGACTGGATTTGCCTGGACCAAAGAATGTTCAAATCTGAGTCTGACATTTGCACTGGGTTCTGAGTTGGGTCTAGAGTCCATCACCTCTACCTTGTTTTATTAAATTCAGCCCAAATATATGAAAAAAAAAAGGATGAAATAGAATCCATCTCCTCCCCTCAAGCCCCTGAGATTCAGACACATCTCTACACAAACATAAGATAAAAAAACTGGTCTTATGATCCCCAATTTCCAGATTTATACATAGGCCTAAAAATGTGACAATAGCCATTTCAGACAGCTTGTATTTCATCCCCCAACCTCCTCCCTCTCTCAACCCCATGTGAGACTCCAGACATTAAAAGAACTCTGCACACCACAGTGGGCTTCATTTAAAGATCCCTCTGTTTCCTCTTCCCTCCTGTCTTGTATCAGCCTCTACAATCACATCCAGAAATAGGATCATAGGATCACTAAGGTTGGAAAAGATCTCCAAGATCATCAAGTCCAGCCATCAACCCAACACTCCCATGACCACTAAACCATGTCCTGAACAGTGTCCAACACATGGACAACATCCAGAGCCTTTCCCTCACCCACTGGGTAGGTCACCTGCTCACAGAAGTGCTCAGCTTTGCACAGTTTGTCCCTCTGGTAGTGTTCATCCACACACAGACTTCATCAGATACATAATATTATCCACAACCAAGTTCTTCAACCAACTGCCTACCAAATTAATTTTACACCAGGGATGGTGATTTATTCAAAGTCTCAAAACAGGCCCAGAATCCAAGTTCACTTCCACAAAGCTTCCTCAAAACAAATTGCTTGCTCTCAAAAGTGAGAGATAATCTTCTATTTAACAAGGGTGTAACTTCTGGTTAAACAACCCAAATGTTACGCTTGGGTATCTTGGAAGCTGCTTTGGTTTTCACCTCCAAAGAATTGCAGCACATTATGTGAAACAGGGAAATTCTTCCTGGAAAATAATGTTACAGCTGAAGCCAAGGTATCTAGGAAACTTAAACAGTTGAAAAGTGAGATCTAGAGAGGAGACCAGTAGTATTAGTCTAGTTGAGAGGTGTCCCTGCTCACAGCAGGGAGGTTGCATTAGATGATCTCTTCCAACTTAAGTCATTCTGTGATAATATTAATAATGTATTTTCTGCTAACTTTCCCGTTAGAAGATTGTAGCATCAAAACCATAAAACATGCCAGAAGCTTCACACACCCTTCACAAAGCTATTCCAGGTCGATTTTTTTTTTTACTTGCCCTTACCTGCATTAACATCAATCTCCCGATGGAAAATGAACCACGGGGATTTATTACTAATGCTAGAGCAGCCAGAGCTGGAGGGACAGCTCCAGCACCGCTCCACGGCCAGACTCGTGTTTAAGGACGGGAAAGCAGAGGAACATCTCCTCCTTCTCCACCCCCTCCTCCCGAAACACCCCCGCGTCTCAGCC